TGTTGTGTGTGTGAGAGAGAGAGGGAGGGAGAGAGAGAGGGGGAGAGGAGAGAGAGGGAGAGAGAGAGGGAGAGAGAGAGGGGAGGGAGGGAGGGAGAGAGAGGGAGGCAGAGAGAGAGAGGGAGGGAGAGAGAGGGAAGGAGAGAGAGGAGAGCGAGAGAGAGAGAGGGAGAGAGAGAGAGAGAGAGAGAGAGAGAGAGAGAGAGAGAGAGAGACTGTAGGGTGTAGACCATTCAGAAAAACGTCAGTGCTCTTTCATCAACTACTTAACATGTACAACACAGCAGTGTAGTAAAGTCTACACTTTCTCCGGACCTTTGAAGATCCGGGTTAGCATTGATCTTCAGGAACCCAAGCTTGTAAGAGACGACTAACGGGATCGGGTTATTCAGGCACGCTGACATGGTTGACACACGTCAACGTATCCCGATTGCGTAGATCGATGATCATGCTGTTGATAACTGGATTGTCTGGTCCAGACTCATTTATTTGCAGACCGCCGTCATAGAGCTGGAATATTGCTGAATGCGGCGTAAAACTAAACTCATTCACTCACACTCACTTTTTCCGGTTTAAGCACTCTCATTAAAGTGTGCGCTTGGTAATAATTAGCTTGGTGAGGAGATGTGGACAAACAACATTGATTCGGTTGGTTTTGCGCTCTTACCTGGTGACATTCATCTACTTGTATTTCAGAATTCACAGAGGATATCGGATACTCAGGAAATATCAACAGTAGCAAATAGTACGAAATAGTGTGCCCATGTTCGTGTACAAAGTCATAAAGTTGACTGGATACATTGTTTTATAGTTTTATACAAGTATTTGTATGTGTCGGTGTAAATAAACGATAAATGTATACTAATGCTTTGTTTCTTTACCTCTGTACTTTTATGAAATGTTGTTAATCACCTTATCTTGGTTAATCGCCTTGTCAATTGCGGACATCAAACAGTTAAAGTACTCATGCATTACTCTGTAGGTTGAAAGCTGCAAATGTCGCAAGACGTCATGACTTGTCTGCAGGATATGAAGCGTTGTTTGATTTATGCGGAATGGTGTCCAGCGTCATTCAGTTCAATCCACAAGGTACTAAAGCGTGTGACTGGATTTGTTTGCGGAACAGAATATGCTTTTTTATCATTGTGGTTACTGCGCGTCAACATTTGGAGTTAGTGAGTGAGTTTAGTTTCACGTCGCTTTTAGCAATATTCCAGCAATATCACGGCGGGGGACGCCAGAAATGTCCTTCACACTTTGTACCCATGTGGGGAATCGAACCCGGGTCCTCGGCGTGACGAGTGAACGCTTTAAGCACTAGACTACCCCACCACCGTCAGCATTGGAAATATCCTCCCGGTGACTGTACAAAGGTAGACACATCTACTAAGGCCCTGATCAAACAACATTTGAGCAAGATTTGCGTGTTCATCAATGGTCTTTAATTTTCCGAATAAAAAAGCGCGTTGTCTTGTGATACCGCCTTAAAGTAAACACTATTTTATAACGAGATCGAAACATAAAAGAGTTAAGTCAAAATGTTTGTGAGTTACAAGTAAAAACCCAAACACCTTTGAAAGGATGTTGAAAATGATCCCATAGTGTCAGGTGTTTACACTCGTTTCAACGTCAGTTTAGTATTCCGTTGGTAAAGGAGAACTAAGTCATCGTACACGTCGTAACTTGAGCGTGAAATGTTTCACGTCTTCCCGTAAGCCTGTTTAGGTGTTATGCCGTGACTTGAGCACGGAAACTAGGTACTTCCGTTACATCTGACGTCTGGGTGACGTTTCATTAGCATCATTCTACCACTTGTGCTCCCACTCAGAGTAACATTACGAGTGAGTGAGTTTAGTTTTACTTCACTTTTAGAAATATTCCAGCAATATCACGGCGGTGGACACCAGAAATGGACTTCACACATTGTACCCATGTGGGCAATCGAACCCGGGTCTTCGGCGTGACGAGCGAACGCTTTAACCACTAGGCTACCCCACTGCCCCAGTAACATTACGACTGACTGAGTTTGGTTTTACGCCGCTTTTAGCAATATTCCAGCAACATCACGGCGGGGGACACCAGAAATGGGCTTCACACATTGTCCCCATGTGGGGAATCCAACCCGGGTCTTCGGCGTGACGAGCGAACGCTTTAACCACTAGGCTATCCCACCGCCCCAGTAACATTACGAAGCCACCTTTAACAACTGAGTGTGTGACTTGGGTTTACAAGTATTCCGGTTATATCTCGGCGTTTCGGCTTTATGTGGGATGGAGACCCGTAGTCCTAGATGTTTACCACATTGGTGAAACCTAGGATCACGTAGATGATGTTATAAAATTCTAAAAACTATCGGCAAAACTTGGATTTCAAATGGGCGGTTGGGTAGCCTAGTGGTTAAAGCGTTAGCTCGTCACGCAGAAGACCCGGGTTCGATCCCCCACATGAGCACAATATGTGAAGGCCATTCTAGTGTCCCCCTCCGTGATATTGCTGGAATATTTCTAAAAGCGGCGTAAAACCATACTCATTCACTCATTCACTCACTGGATTTCAATTCATGATAATGGGCTTCTGGCACAATGTGTGAAGCCCATTTCTGGTGTCCCCCGCCGTGATATTGCTGGAATTTTGCTAAAAGCGGCGTAAAACCATACTCACTCACTCACTGGATTTCAAATCATGATCATGGGTTTCCGACATGCCTTAGGGACGCTACTCTGCATATGGGCTACCTGTGCCGCCTTAACAACTAAAGCACTGTACATGTGTAGTAATTGATGTCATTATTCATGAGTCTGAATGAAAATATTCCGTGAAACACATGGCAACTTTTCCACAACCGCGACGTCTAGTGTTTATTCATGGATCTGTGTACCATTTGCAATGTTAGACGATGATTTTATTCAGGAAGGCTGTGTATTGTAATGATGTTTCATATAATCCAATATTTTCATATATATCCAATATCCTAAACTTGTCAGGTTGTCAGATTCGGTGACATGTTCATTGTGTGGATGACTGCTTACAATGTCAATCACTGGCTGCTCAGGTCAAGATTCAATTATTTACACGGCGGCGTCACATTGCCGGAATATTGATGAGTATGGCTTTGTGCAACAAACAGACACCGTTAACTGTTACTTAGCCTAGAAGATCCGGAATAGAATTGATCTTCAGCAACACTGCTTGTCGTAGAGAGAGCGAGTGGGTAAGCTTTTACTCCGCTTTCGGTAATACGGCCGGGGACTCACATACTGTAACCATGCAGGGAATCGAACCCGGGTCTTCGGCGTTACGATTCAACGCTTTAACCACTAGACTGACATTTTGAGATCCAGGCCCACTTAGGAAGGCGTGTTAAGCCATACACTTAAATGTTAAAGCGTTGACATTTCAGTCCTCATTGACCGTCCGAATATTGTTGAATTCCTAATTGTTACTGACCCGTGAAGATCCGGGGTAGAATAGGTCTTCAGCAACCCATGCTTGCCACAAAAGGCGACTATGCCTGTCGTAAGCTTTAAGAGGCGACTAACGGGATCGGGTGGTCAGGCTCGCTGACTTGGTTGACACGTGTCATCGGTTCCCAATTGCGCAGATCGATGTTGATCACTGGATCACTGGATTGTCTGGTCCAGACTCGACTATTTACAGACCGCCGCCAAATAGCTGGAATAGTGCTGAGTGCGGCGTAATACTAAACTCACTCACTCACCTAATTTATACTTAATTTAAACAGTTGTAATGCTATCAAGGATTCATACAGGGTATACTTTCAAGGTTTATTATACATAATTATTTACAATTAAAGGAAGGCATATGCCATCAACGTTATTTTGACGAAAGTCACTCCAACTTTTTTCCTGTCGTGGTAATATCAACAAAGCTTACCTTTTGACGTCACACACACACACTCAAAGGCACACGCGCGCGCATGTGCATGCATGCACACACACACACGAACGTGATGGAGCGAACGCTCTAACCACGTTACTACCATTACTGCCCTGTCTTTATTGAGTTAGTGACATGTTTCACAATTGTTCATGCGATAATCGAGGATACAACGGATGATTTTATGTGTCGAAAAAACGTCTTCCATGTGGACATATATAAATTTTTGGGTGGTCAAGGGTTGGGCGGAGTTGTTGTTTAACGCCGCACTGCGGTCTAATAAATAATCGAGTCTGGACCAGACAATCCAGTGATCAATGTTCCCGATACCGTCAGCCGCCTCTTACGACAAGCATGGGTTACTGAAGACCAATTCTAACCCGGATCCTCACGGGTCGTGTGGTCTAGGGGGGTTCAAAGTTTTAAATGTACCATCACAAGTTCAGGTTGTCCGTAATATGTTGTATCCGTGTTTTATGCGTGCAGGTTGAAAAACTAAGTTTACAATGGACACATCGCTGTCAGCAGTCTATAAGGACATTTACAAATCCTCTGATTTAATGCACTCATTTGGGGCGTATATCATAACAAAGTCATGTACAGGAATGAAAACAAAAGTGTATCACGAAAGTAAACAAAATACTGCATTATTTTAAGCATAAAGTAAAAAGCATTCACACGCTCGAAGTTGACTCGACACGGATGTGTTTAAATTAATCACCGCAATTTGCGGATGACCCATGTTTTATAGACACGTGACACGTAGCTTCTGGTAGGCTGTACCTCGGGGCGACATCTGCCGTCTCAAGCCTGTAATTCGAAGGTATGTCAAAGTGACAACTACTGACGAAATAGATAGTGTGGAGGTCCATTAACGAAACATGGGGGCATTCGGTGAGAGATGAAAGTTGAATTGAATGTTTAATATATTAAAGCAGTATTCAATAATTAGTTTTTCTCAGATGTAAACAAATTTCATATTTTGATAATTAATTTATTGTAGATTTTTCGTATTCGAGTATAATCTTCTAAGTTTCTCAACCTGACCTCCCTATAATTTGGATTCGTCCACTAAGACAATAAAAACATTAATCCTCCTAGAAGGCTGAGACTCAGCATAAAATAAGCAGTATTCACATCGGCTCCCTGTATCTGCTGCAACAGACAAGATGAAGAAGATCGTCGCTACTTTGGTGTGTCTGTGTGTTCTCAGCATCGCAGTCAACGCGTTCTCCTTGGACTCCATCCTGAATCAGAAGGGGAAGGACCTTTGCCAGTATTGCTCGCTCTGTTCTTATGCAACTGACTGTGGTCCAAGCTGTAGCCATGCCTTCTGTTTCTTGTGTCCCTACGCCAGCCATTGCACTACTTCCTGCCAGAATGAATGTGTCGCCAGGACTACCCAAAGGTCTCGATCACCAGACATATTAGGTACCCTGTCACGGCTCATACAAGGCTAGGAGCTGGACATAAGGTAAGATAATAGTACACGATACAGGTGTTCCGGCCAAATGGCATTCATGGGAAATCATATTCACGGACTTCAACGTGAGTGAGTGAGTGAGTGAGTGAGTGAGTGAGTGAGTGAGTGAGTGAGTGTTTAACGCTGTCATTCAGTTACATGACAGTCAGTCAGATCACGGCATTTAAACTCAACGTATGCAAATATAGTCTGTGTATCAATCTCGAAGGAAATATTACATCTTTAATTGTAATAACTACAAATGGACCCGGGATTGCGCATATGCCCCTGTTTAAACTGTATTTATGTCTTGTTGAGTTCGCTGAAAGGGCGTTGACATAAGTATAGATAAGTAAGTATATCTATCTATCTGTCTAATAAATCATGTTTGTAGAGTGTAACACGTAACATACGTTGATTTGTGTGTTTGTTGTTTTACGCCGCACTCAGCAGTATTCCAGCTACATGGCGGCGGTCTGTAAATAATCGAGATAATCCTGTGGTCAACAGCATGAGCATCCACCTATGCTCCACCAAGTCAGGAAGCCTGACCACCTGATCCCGTTAGTCGTCTCTTACGACAAGCATGGGTTGCTGAAGACCAAATCTAATCGGCATCTTCACGGGTCACATACGTTAGTTAGAAGGTGACAGAAGGCTCTGAGTCTAAAACGACAGGTAGCATTGACCACAGATTTTGTCCTCAAACATTTTGTGCGCAAGGATTCCGTTACGAAAGAAAGTATCGTGATTCTTTTAAATGTCTCTGTTCTAATGCAGAGTATCTGTTTTTCAGGCAAGGTCGTTACAGAGAGCACTGCCAGAAGCACGTAACATTCACAGCCTCCAGAGTTTTGGACAATATCAGTTATGTGTAGGTCATGATGACGATAAAACCTATCTTTTGTCCAGTGTCGCTATTGTGTTCCTGTTGGTCATCGGGCATCCTTTCCCTGTCGGTCATCACTGAGATGTCCATATCCGTCATCAAGAAGTAATGGTCTTCGTAAAGATATCCAAGTGATGTATGTCATCATAAACAATACATCCGCTGACGGTCACAATGAAGATACATGTACATGTTTGTCATTAGCAAGGTGTCCGTCAATATCTGTCATCATGATGATATCTTGACCCTAGCTATTCTGTATTAAGACCTACAAATGACAATCAACCTGGAGACTACCTAAGACTGGCGTCATCTAAAGACGTTCAGTTTCTCCCCACCATCCCAAGGATACATTGAACAGCGGATGCTTGTGGTGCCTTTGTGTCTCTTCTAAACAAACCATTGCCTTGGACTGACTGATTCCCCACCATGCGACCCTTGCTCTCACCTTTATGTATATAATTGTAATTGCGTATGTAATAAAGATAATACGAACAAATTACGCTGAAATGAGAATGTAAAAATGTCTGTACCTTACTTTGTCTCCGATGATATACTACGCGTGCAATAAAATATATGATCCATCTTGTTTTGCGGTGATATTTTTGTAATAACTGTGGTGAAACTGAAAGTGTTAGTATGAAAGGTGATGAACCCTGTGTGTTTGCTGGTTTATAACATGAATTATGTGAGATAGTTTCTTTTATAGTCTGTTTGCAGTGAAAACGTACCGATGAATTTCACTTTAAACAAGAAAGTAAATCGAAAAAAGTGAAATTAAGATTGCGAATCCTCATAAATTTTTACCTTGCCAACTGAACCTTTAAGTATCAGAATTATATTAAACTTAGGATAAAAGTTGTTTAACAAACGATCATAGTTTCAAATCGTTATTATTGGTTTGTATTACAAGGGTGTATGTACATTAAATGAAACACCGAGAACAAGTAGGGCTGGTCTAAGTTAACGCTCATCACGTATCGCACGTGCATTTGTTTCAGTGTTCCAACTGCTGCGCTTACCCCCTTGTAATACAAATCAATTATAGCGATTTGAATCTATGATCATTTGTTAAACAACTTTTATCCTAAGATGAATAAAATTCTGAGATTCAAATGTTCAATTGACAAGGTAAAATTATGAGGGTTCGCAATCTTAATTTCACATTATTTGCTTTACTTTTTAGTTTAAAGTGAAATTCATCGGTACGTTTTCACTGCAAACAGACTATAGAGGCATTTAGATGTTGGAGCTATAAGGAAGAATAACAATATATGGATGAACAACGTCTTATTGCTGTGAGAGCGACGTTTCGGTGTAGGTTCTAACACCGTTATCAAACAAGTGACTTAGAACCGACACCGAAACGTCGCTCTCACAGCAATAAGACGTTGTTCATCCATATATTGTTATCCTTCCTTATGTGAGATAGATGTGTGTATGTATGTGCCGATGTGTATGTACATATGAGTAACAACTATGTTATATGTTACATAAGTGTGTGTATCACAATGACTTCACGAAAGTTTAACCACAATTTAAGCATTCTGAAGAGATTTGTTTGAGGGGCATTCTAGAAGTTGCTGGTATAGAGATGACACAACTTTATGGATGATCAACTTCTTTATTTTAACAATAGCGACGTTTCGGTATAGATTCTTATACCGTTTTCAAGCATATGGGGGAATGATGGGGTACACCAGTTTATATACAAGATAAGATCATGCGATAACAATAACAATGTTTGGGAAACAAAGCATCAAAGACATGATGATGAGCTGAAGATAACAAAATGAGATGAGAGGGATTACCGTGACAATTAGTGAATGTAAGTTAATTAGGCGTGAATGTAAGTTAATTAAACTCAGCGGAAATTGGCCTAAGCATTACAAATACGCCGTTTTAATCCTACTATTAACAGAGATCAAGGCTATTACATCCCCCTCAGCTTACAACCATCTAATCCACAAATAATTAACCACTCAACCCACAATGGCTTCTCATCAACCTTCATACTCACATTCCTCACCATTGGCTTCTCACTAATTAATCCCCCCACCACCTTGGCTTCTGCCTAATTAACTTACATTCACTAATTGTCATGGTAATCCCACTCATCTCATTTTGTTATCTTCAGCTCATCATCATGTCATTGTAGCTCATCATGTAACTTTCTTTGATGCTCTGTTTCCCCACCCTTGTTATTGTTATCCCATTATCTTATCTTGTATATAAACTGGTGTACCCCATCATTCCCCCATATGCTTGAAAACGGTATAAGAGCCTATACCAAAACGTCGCTATTGTTAAAATAAAGAAGTTGATCATCCTTAAAGTTGTGTCATCTCTATTCTGAAGAGACATACCTTCTTCAGGGCATTGTTTCCGACACGACCAATAGTGGAGCGTGTTTCGCAATGTCAGAGTGATACTCGCCCGCCACCAGTGCACTTCTGGGACGTATATAAACTGGACCTTGTCCTCACCGCCACACCTCCCTGGCTTCTCCCTACTACGAATTATAACTCTCAAAACTTTCAAAGTAAATTTAAACTTACCAGGATTTTTAAACGTAGTATTTTTGTGATTTTAATTTTGGCTAAATTTTCCTACAATCGCCAGCGGCTGAAGCGATTGTGTAAACCCAGCTAGGGTCCATGCAGGTAGCAAAAGGTACTGTAAGTCCCCATGGTCCCTAGTATGGTGATCTACCTTCAGTTGTTGGCGATCTATAGCCTGATTATATATTGTCTGTTTTATAGTTAAAATGTTTTAAATTTATTTACTAGTTTGAACATTTATATCTGTGATAAACTAGTTGTTTTACTGTCCTTCGTTGACATTTTTTTTATATTATTTACCCATAATTGTTATTAATATATAACTTGATATAGTTACGATATGGCTGAAATACTGCCAATGTGACTTATAACTTTAACTCACTCACTCACTCACTCACACTCCCTACCACGACAGGGCGTCTTACGTGACTGGCGCCGTAAGAGGGCTTTACGCCGCGGCGTTCGCTTCCCCGTAAACACTTGTGCGTGTTTACAGTGACACCTTTGTGCTTGATTACACTTAAAGTATTTTGCGTGTTCACAGTTAAACCCTGTTGGAAGTCTTGTAGAAGAGAACGAAACGCAATATCGTTATTATCCATACCTTTTGCAGCTGCAGTAGAAAAGAAATAACAAGACGTCTACGTTGATATGCAGTCACGTCATAGCTTTATGACGTCAGTGGTGATGAATTTTAGTATATTTACAGTTAAAGCCTTACAACATCAATACACGACTGTTGTTACGCATTTTATTTAGAGAACAACAGTGAAATAGGTAAACAAAGATGATCACTTCATACCTGCGAAAACAAATAGGATGATAACCTGACGACCCGTAAATGACTCTGTGTGTTTAGTCACTTCATAAGATTATTGGTAGTTAGGGTATTTTGTAAAGACTTCTTCAGGGGTATGACAAGATCACTGTTAAGATCACGAGATAGTGAGTATGGTTTTACGCCGCTTTTAGCAATATTACGGCGGAGGACACCAGAAATGTGCTTCACACATTGTACCCATGTGGGGAATCGAACCCGGGTCTTTGTCGTGACGAGCGAACGCTTTAACCACTAGGCTACCCCACCGCCCCAGATCACATGATAAGGTAAGCGGGTTCCACAAAGAAAGATATGATGTTAAGGTCAAACCAAATTTATTCAAGAAAGACAAAAAGAAATAAGTACAAAATGTATTGAGTGAGAAGAATTCACTGTAAACGCCACCCTAAACTTCAATATTTCATGGACGAGACAAATCATACATATTAATTTTACAGTTATTCAGCTTAAAATGTGATACTGTAATACTGAACATAATTGTTGAACAAGTACACATACCCCAGTCCATTGCATAAACCCATTATTCAAATGCATGATGTGTTGGGGTTGTTGTTGTTGTTGTTGTTGTTGTTTTTGGGGTTTTGGTTTTTGTACCGACAACCGATGCATATTATAAAGGATTTCAAGTTTCATTAAATTTGCAAAATCGATATTCTGACATTAATAATTAATTAGGACAGGTTGATACAACTGAACAAAGAGATTATGGACATTATATCGTGGGGAACACGTTTGAGTGTGTTTCAGCCAAAATACCTGCCCGTTCTACCATAGCTACATACTCTGGTGCCACAACGTGTTGGACAGCATTTACCATTACCACAGTGAGAGTCTTCAGAGCATTGGTTCCGACACGACCGATAGTACATCATGTTTCGACATTGTCCGGGTGATACTCGGTGTGCGCTGGACGCCAGAAGAGCACTTCTGGTCGGATATAAACCGAATCTTTTCGGAACAAAACTTGACCGCAGAGCAACACTACCCTGGTTTCTCCCTACGACGGCGGGGCGTCTGATGTGACTGGCGACGTGGGCGGGTTTTACTCCTCTGCGTTCGTTCCTCAATATCCCCCCGTGAGTGTATACAGGTACACCCTTTGGACGTGTACACGACATGGTTCCGCATGCAGTAGGACAACACACGTAGTCATTGTTACAGTCTGATGACACAATGCAGCCTTTCTCACACGTTGTGTGGGTAGTGGTAGGGGGACAGTAGGTAGAGGTTGTATTCGGATGTAGAGGTTTGACTCCAGGATGATGAGTTACAGGCTCTGAAATGTGTTAATGTTATTCTGAAGCTCTTGGGCGTATATTTGTCCTCGTTTACACTTTTCGAAGGAACGAAGTCAGACGCCATGGTTCTGTAATCGTGCGAATACTGAGATGATAAATCCATTCGTTGAAAACTAACCTTTATAATTACCCTGGTCGAGGTAGAATTGTGAAATATACATGCCTAGCCTGGTGAGAATTGTCTTTTAGTCTCATTTAAAATTAAAATATTTCTCGTTGAACACCGCTAAGCAAAGATCTGATGATGTCCAGGTCGGAACCACGTCAGAATAACCTATCATCCGGCCAATCAAACTTACAAGATCAGACCCGAAGAAAGTGACAGTCGGAATGTGTTTTCTAATCATGCATCCTCGAAAACGTTAACACGGGGTATTCCGAACGACAGTTACAGACTACACGACTGATTCCGTCAGAAATCGTCGCTTTTTTATATTTTGAATGGAGGACTTTCTTGAATATATTTCCAAAGTGTAGCATGCGACGGATATGGAGAATTCCGTATAACTCGGGAACAGGATGTTCTCAGATCTTTGTTCAGCCATAACGACAACTAAGATCTGATCTCAAATAAGATTGAGCGTTTCTTATAATATGCGTAAGCATTTATCTTTTTGTTATCATGGACATATCGATGTTGCCGCAAAAATATTACATCGTTACCTCATTCGATCCACAAAGCTCTCGTAGCGTTACGACCTATCGTAAATCTGTACTTTTTGATGGGCTTACGAATAACGTATCGCTACGAACGCTTTCTGGATTGGGTCCCGTCAACACATTCCTTGACATACGTCAGAGCTTACTTTTATACTGGCATCCAAGAGGTGCATAGCAGCATTTTGACCCCTTTCCATACAAAGATCTGGTACATTTACTTCCGA